TTTTTGTTTGTCGTCTGATCCCTATCTTAGCTCATGTAGTAAGTAGAACTTACAAGAAATATATTACAGTCTCTGAAAAGATCAGAAGTGGAAGTCAATCATAAATCTTAAAATCAATTGGGGAAATTGAATTGTGGACTTGGAGAATCAAGTCATTATTACTGTCTCTAAATAAATCTCTATTATCCACCATCACAAACTCAATGGCTCACATCTGCATTCAAAGTGCATGGCCACCATGTTGCAACTTACCTTTGTACAGTTTGTCTACTCGGTGTGTCGTCATCGTCTGAAGTCACTTGCTGGACTTTCATGGGGCGGCCTTAAGAATAAAAGGTTATAAAAAGAGTCAGAATCCTTTCCCTCCTCGAGACGCAACCCTAGGCAGAAATTTCATTTAGCACGGAAAAACAGATCTGTACCGTCAAGAGGGACGCCGTTATAGTGCTTCATGGCTTTGACGGCATCCGCCTTATTTTCAAAGTGAATGTCTGCAGTTCCTTTACTGCGACCTGAGCGGTCGTAGTGTACGGATGCTTTACTTAATTCGCCAAACTCTTCAAACAATTCCTGGAGATAAGAGAAGAAACATCAGTTTTATCCCCCCTACATGGTGACAGTACTGTGATTATGGCTGGATAAGGATTGGTAACATACCTTGATATCTGAGTCAGAAACGCCAAAGTCCAGATTGGAAACCAGGAGCTTGCCGCTACTTTCTACACTTCTTTCTGCCACTGCACTCGGTCCCCTGCGTCCGCCAACATGCTCCTCAAACATGTCGTGCTGCCATTTGTCTGGCAACTCTCTGGGCTGTGAAGAGAAGAGACGACAACACAATCTTCAGGTTCTGTGTGGTCTAATCAAGTTTACATTCTCAGTAGATCAAGTTTGATGTTGTTTGTTGTTCCATTATTCACCATGCACCTTAATAACTTATCATTTAGTATTTGCCTACTTGCACATAGCTCTGTGTGTGTGTATATATATATATATATATATTTATTTCTTGTTTACTGCACATAGTTTTGTTTACATCTGTTAGTCCGATCACTGTCCACTTATATCTACTCTTTTATATTTTGTATTTTGAAGTTAAGTTTAAGCTTTAAGTTGTATTTAAATTGACACTTTATATTTAGGTTAAAATGTTTCGTTTACTTGTACTGTTGTTAATTTACTGCTCTGTGAGACTTTGAATTGCACCCCGGTGACAAATAAAGTTTTTTTGAATTGAATTGATGAAGCAGGAAACTTTGTGCAAAGCACATGGCATGCGATTGTTGAGGTGTTCAGAACACGTCAAAATGCCTTACATTAAAAAAATAAAAGACAATCAGGTCAGTGATCTCGTCACATTTGGCTGTTTTGTAACCGCATTTTCACTCTGACCATTTTTTTGGGGGGATTCGAGTACGTTAACAGCTGCGACTCTAGTAAACACATTAATATAATATTTATATTAATATAATAATATAATATTTATATTAATGATGGGAAAACGATTCAGCTAATCCCCCTCACCTTACAAATAAAAGGACATCGTCTGACTCACAGCAGCCATCTTGGATCTCACATGGGGACCAGTATCCGACGCGCGGCTTTTATTAACATTTTTTTGTAAATGCTGTTAATTTCAGTGGGAAACGCGGCACATGATGTTAGAACATGTGCAGTCAGTCAGTCAGTCAGGCGGACATTTTCATTCAGGTGAACGGGGACTCTTTAGCTTCCCTGTTGTTGCTTAGCATATTATATGTTTATCAGGTGACGTCCATTATTACTGAACACCTACCACCAGGATTACATGTTATACCAGTCAACTATGTTCATTTCAGTAGCTTCTCGTTCATACCCTGGTGTACGGTGTGGCTCTGTTGTTTCTTTCACGGTTGAAGTTGTTCTGTCGACTCCGCGTTGGCCTCGATGATCCGCCGGTCCGTCCAGAATTTGCCGTCGACCTGAACGATCCTCCTCCACCGCCGCTTCCTTTCTTGTTCATCTTAATGATGTCGTCCAGGGACATACTCATCTTTTCGGACATGGTGGTGGTAGTGAAGCGTGTGGCTGAAGCTCAGATGGAACAAAGAACTTATGGTGTCGAGGTGTGATTGTTTATCTGCTGCTCTGGCGCGGTCCTAAAACTGGCGGAAAGCGGAAATGCGTAGTTGGCACATTGGCAAAAATGGCGATTACGTGCTCTTCTTCTTCTTCTGGTGATTTGATTGGCAGTTGGCAAACCAGCGTTAAGGATCTTTACCGCCACCTACTGGAATGAATTTTGTAGCACAATATATTGTCATTCTTTTTCTTGAAAATGACATTATCTTATGAGGGACAAAAAATGTATACAAAAAAGTATAAATAAATAAATGTTGGGAGAAATGCATACAATAATGTATAAATAAATAAATAATTAAATAAATGCATCAATAAATAAATAAATTCATATTTTTATTTATGTATTTCTGTGTCCATGTTCTATAAGGAAAAGTAAATATGTAAATTAAGTGGGCCGTCCTAACATTACTGAAGTAGGATTGGTTTTGATTCAATTTTGAAAAACAGACAGAAGCAAATTTACAAATATACTTTTCCTCTTAGGACCTGGACACAGAAATAAATAGATGTGTAAATGTAAAAATACGGAAATAAATCAATAACTCAATTAATGTGGAAATGTATGCATTGATACATATATAACTGTAGAAATACGCTAATAAATGAATAAATACATGTAAAAATATATAAATAGCCTTTTCATTAACAAAGTGTATTTATTATTTGTTCATTGATGTACTGTTTTCAGCATTTATACATGTATTTATATATTTATTGATGCATTTATTAAATTATTTATTTATTTATACATTATTGTATGCATTTCTCCCAACATTTATTTATGTCCCTCATACCATTTTTCCACAGAGAATTTAAATCCCCACTTTGATCCCCATGTCTCTGTCTCCCTTGAACACTCATTTCAGATTATGCCAATTATTTTTGATAGCCTCTCCCACAGTAAATGGGACACTCATCTCATTCTCAATATGATCCTCCATAATTTCAGATGTTTTTTTGTCCCTGTAGCGTCTTGCCTCATCACTGAAATTAAAACTGTGCACAATAACAATGGTTTATAACTCTGCTTTTAATTTATTTATTAGTAACTGCATCATCCTTTCAATCATTTAAAACTAAGTTATTTCAGTCTCTTCTATCCCCTCTCATTGTTCGAATCATACCCCAATTTCTCATATTGGGGTCTAGTTCCTTAATCATAAAATTTCCTTTAGTAAGTTCTTCTTACGGTCCTCTAACCGCCGCCTAAGCTTTTTATACTATAACTAGTCTATATATATATGTTGGAAATTTAGAATATCTTTATTATTTTTAAATGCCCTGTTTCTGTTTTCACTCATCTCATTTCACCATTGAACCACTTTCTCCTTAGGATCTGATACTGTAGTGCAGTATTATCATTTTTTCTTTAATTATATTACATCTTCTATAATCTATATCCATATTGCTATCTATTTGTAGTAGCTTAAGTCCTCCTCTGCACTACACTCAATTAAAGCACCACAATATATTTTTACTGGAGTAGCTCACAGTTGTTACTTTCTATCACTCAGATATAGAGAGAAATGTTGGATGGGCAGACAAACAGAAAAATAGACAGACAGATAGACAAGTGAGTCTGTTCTGTTGAATGAGCTAAGCTTATTTCATTTGGCTAGCTATGCTATTGAGAAACAGGCTTCCATTACACATTGCTAGACTAAAGTAAAGAGAGAAAAAAAAAGACCATTCTGTGACAGACTGAGGGGAAACAGGTTCACTCTCCAGTTCAAAATCACATTCAGTCTCTGGTGGGTCATATATTTAGGGCTGGGTAGGTCTGATAGAGGAGCTGAGGCCTCCATAGTCAGGTCATTTACATTTTTGACAGTTGGGAAGGGAACGTCTCTCCGCGAGTGGGCGTGGCTTCGGCGCATTCTATGGACACGCCCACATCATCCCAGAGGAGAGAGAACAGCTACATTTCTCATGATTTTAAAGCCTAATTTTATAAATTTATAAGTTTTTTTCATTGCTGAAATTTGGCCTGCTGGTTAATAATACATTCTTCTTTTGTATGAAAAAAATAAAAAACATATATATTTTTTTGATTTACAGGACAGGTAGCAGAACCGAACTATTTTATGTTTGTGAAAAGAATAATAACACACAGAAACGTTTATTTTGTAGTTTTGAGAACTTTTGCATGTAATATAAGTTTTTTTCGTTGCTGAAATTTTTTTCGTTGCTGAATTTGGCCTGGTGGTTAATAATACATTCTTCTTTTGTATAAAAAACTAAAACAAAACATGGAAACAGACAGATGGTTTCCACGACAACAAGTGATGGAGGATGTTTAGATACAGGTTGGCATGGGAAAATGTCGTGATATCTTAATTTAATAAAAATATATAATGAAAAGGGGACGTATGTAAACATTATTTTGGTTGCAAAAACTGAAAGTAAATCACGGTTATGTCATTGGTGATGTGTGTGTCACTTTTTTGCTTTGGTCTGTCTTTTGGGTTTGTGTGTGTGGATTTTTTATTTTTATTTTATTTTTTATGTGGGTTTATGTGTTTTTTTGTTGTTATATTTCTCAAATAAATAAAAATTAATTAATGCAAAAAAAAAAAACTAAAAAAAAAACTAAAAAACATTTTTCTGTTTACAGGGACGCTCATATTCTCATAACGTTCAAACGTCCTTCAAAATCCCAACAGAAAATAACTGATACTCGGAGCTGTCTGTCTCGACTTGGTGAGTCATTTATTATTAAAAAACAAAGTGTGGATTTATTTATCATGTCCCCGAAAGATGTCCACTCAAAATAGCCAAGAAATAGTGAAGTGCGTTGTAACCTTACAGTCTATGGTTGTAACATTATTAGCCGGCTAATGTCAGTTTGATTCCTTTTAGCTCAGTATCTGTACATTGAAATGGAGCACAGTGAAAGCCTGGATGAAGAGACTACATTCCCTGCACCAAGCGCCTGTTGTGGTCGGATGGAAAAACTGTGTAATATCGCTAAACGGAATAAAGTTCTGATTGCTAATCTGTTAGCTGTTTTCCTGGGTAAGTAATGTCTAGTTTATAGCTACAAAACAACAGTGTGTCAAGCTAACGATGCTACTCGGAGACCAAAGTTAAGATAGCTAACTCTGCTCAGCCTTGGTTGTAAAATATCAAACTTTATTAGGGCAACTGTATTGGCAAATGATACGTAATATATTATTTATTTATAATTTTTATTAATTAGCGAAAGTAGCGGCATTAATTAATTAATTTTTAATTTAATTTAATTTAATTTAATTTAATTTAATTTAATTTAATTTAATTTAATTTATCTATTTTTAAATTTAGTGTATTATTAAATTATTAATTAATTAGTTATTTTAATTTAATTTACAGAAATACAAATAAAGAGATATTGAAATATATGTGAATGACAAAGCCACTGAGAAAACTGAAAACATTTTTTACTTTTTAAGATTGATTTTGAACAAATATGTGTATTGTGTATACAAGGATGTTTTGTCAGTCACGGTCACTTTCGTTGCTTTGATTCAGTTCACTTTTTCATACTTCTGTTGCCCTAGCAACAAGATCAGTTTTCTCAATCTGCAAAGGATTTGAAGAAGCCGGACATTGGTGGTGTGGCGCCAAATTCTGGGACTGACTGATCACATATCGTGCCCTAACCTTTTAAACAGACACTATTTAGTTTCTCAGTACCCCTAAAGCTAATAGTGTCATTTTATATTTGGCACAATTGACATTTTGCATACAGTGAGAGTCCTGAAGTATTTGTTTTAAGCGTACAATTCAAAAACAGGTTAAACAGCGTCATCTTGTGCACATTTAAAATCATTAGGCTTCAAGACCACGTAATATTAGCTACTATTTAGTGTCTGGTAAGAACCTCACCTAAAGAAAAATGTGGATTGTATGTATCTAAAGACACAATTTTCTACACATGTGATGCAGGCTTGTCACGTTAGCTTAATTACGAATTCATGTTTTATTTTGAATTTGTAAACAACTGTTAAGGAATCATTTGCTGATTTTTCCTCCTCTTGCTTTACTAACCCTGTAGTCAGCAGCAAAAGTTTTCACTCGTTCCTCATTGCTTCTATTGACTTCTACAATTAAAGACAAAACTAAGGCCTGTAGTTCTAGCTCTTGTTTCTTCTAAGTGAGAAAAACACTGATACAGAATGGACCTACTAGCTGCTGTCATTGCTGCAATTTCAAAAGCTTCATCTGATTCATGAAAGGGTAATCAGAGGAACACTTAAGTATCTTTTTTGAATTCCAATGCTAGCTCTTTTGGCATACATGCAAGAAGGGGGAAGGGTACATTGCACTTTATATGTTATTAACAGAAACCATGAATACAATTATAATATTATGCAGGATTGAAAATGATCTTCCTGGCTGTAGAGTGACCAAAATTGTGTGTGGAGAGAGAGCTAGTGTGGGGAGGATGTGCACCAACAGTGTCAGGATTGTAGCCTCTGTACATTTGGTGCCTGCTCTACCAACTGAGCTAAACCAACTCAATCCATGCAGATTGGATCTTTGAAATTCAGATAACAAGAGTTGAATCCTCAAATGATACTATGTGCCCTCAGTTAAACATAACATGTTGTCATTGTAGTGCAACTTTTTTTGCCTTAATGTGACATTAAGCTGCGTTAGATATCGGTTAAGCTTTGCTCAAGAATGACATTTCTGATTTTGTGTTACCTCTATAACATTTATACATTCTCAGCTACTTCAGCTATTTTTTAACTGTTTTCAACATTTGCTTAATTTACTAACTTTCTTTGTTATTGTCCTCAGGTATTTCTGTTGGCTTAGTTCTCAAGTTCTATGCCAATTTGACTGAACTTGACCAAATTTACATCAGCTTTCCAGGAGAGATACTCATGCAGATGCTGCAGAGTATGACCGTTCCTCTCATTGTTACTAGTGTGATAACAGGTAAGCCACAGGGGTATTTTCTCATAATGTTAACTGTAACATTATGTTCATACAGATATTCACAACATCTTAAAGTTACATGCTTGTGACTTAATCAAGTTCCAAGTTTAAGGTAAATTATGTCGATCGTATTTTTCTTGTGCTAATTGCCACCTTGTCATATAATGTCCAAACTTCCACTTGAAAGTTTTCTTAAGAATATTTAAGAGTTTGTTAATTACTGGAAAACACAAAATGATGCTGACTCTTTCTTTACTCTGGGACTGAACTAGCATTTCTAGTCCCGAAGAATTGCTTTCTGGTTGAAAGACGAGCTTCCCTTCACTGAGCCACAGCTACACAGTAGCTTATGTTCATAAAGTTTGAACAGAGATACTTTTCATGGGAATTTAAATTAGATGGCATTTATTTTCCAAAGTTTACATTTCATTCAGTTAGGATCTCAGTAATGCTGCATCTTACATCCTACTACTGTGTAGAAGTACCGTCACACAGATTCTTCCTGAGATCATTGTTAGACTTACTTCCTAAATCTCATTCCCCTGATGTAACCCCATGCATTGTTCCAGTTATGTCTTTGCTTTTTAGGCTAAAGGTTATTATTTATTTTTCCCACAGGTGTTTCTGATCTAAGCATAGAAACTTCCAGAAGAATCACTTTGCGTACTATAGCATATTTTGTCTCAACAACTTCTGTGGCAGTTATCACAGGTAGAAAGCATTGGACAACAACTTTATTAGTGTGGGCTCCATTTTCATTAATGAACATATCTGACCTTAAGCACTGCATTGTTTCTTTGTTACTTTTTGAGCATGTCAAGTTTTTTTCTTCCTGAAACTCACATAGTATCATTTGTCTCATTTCCAGCATAGTCAGCTCAAGTAGGTGGTAATCTTCATATATTTCCCCTCTCTTCATGTTCACGTATATTTGACCCTTATTTTAGCATTGCATTTTGACTTGTCATGGGATTAAAAAGTTCAGATGTCATTAAAAAGGTGACTAGTATTATTACTGGGGGGATAATAGATAAAAATGTTTTGAGTTCCCACTGCTGTAGGCAGGCTGTGATGGCTGCAGTGTAATCGTTCATCAGCGGCAACCTCCAGTGTTGAAAAAAGAAGTCGAAAAAGGAAGTGCAAAATCCTGCAGTTTGTCAAGTTTCCAATTGAGGCTGGCTCCAGGGGCCCCGGAAGTCACATACACACAACAGGCAAAAAACAATTTTACAGCAGAACATGCCTTTTTAAACAGCTCCGTTATGATTTTATGAACGGTACGTGTTATCCATATTTATGCGCGTAGCTGACCTGATTGACAAGTGGGCGCGATGTAACGGTTTGTCAAGAGGCTTAAAGCCCACCTCAGCCTGTCGTGAGGTTGAGTGTAAGTTAGGCTGAGATTTCCAGCATGGCGACTGCTGCCAATGAGCCTCCTGTAGTAACAGGTGACTGACGTCACTCAGGTTTCTTACATTAATATTACAGTCTATGATTATTCCTGGCAAGTAATCCCATGTAAAGTATGTCCAACACTTAAAGTGCTTATTTTTTCAAATCCTTTTTCTTTTTCTGCCAAATGAAATGTAAAGACTTAAGACTGGATTGATCATGTTTAGTTTTATTGAAGACATTTAAAAAAAAAATGTTTTGCTGTTAATGTTAAACTTTGAATTTGTGTTGCAGGGTTAATGTTGGTGCTGCTGATCGAGCCAGGAGTCACTAATATTGTTATTGTTAAAGAAGCTGACGAACTTGATGAGGAGTCCTTCTCCACTGTCGGCGCACTGTATGATCTACTACTGTGAGAGGAAAGCTTATACTTTGGCATCATTCTATCACTAACACTACATGATATCAGTTCTTAAAAAGTTAAACAAACATCACATCATAGCTGCACGTCTTGTTTAATAACTTCTAAAAGCTCACTGATGGTGTGACTTCTCTTTATCCTTTATAGAAACATATTCCCTGAAAACCTGTTTCGGACCACCTTCCATCAGGTATTAAGGCTTACTGGAGACTCAGACTTATTCATGTCATGTACTTTTTATAATTCACATATGAATGATTACTGTTTTTTTATAGTTCAAGACTGAATTGGTGGAGTTTGAGCTTGAAGAAGATGAGATGAACTCTAGCCTGGGAACAGTAAGTAATATGTCACTGTGATGATTTGTTTTCACATTCAAGTTGAATATCTTTGAAACATGAAGTTGGTCCCAGGCTGTGATAATTCACGAGTTACCCTGGCCTTGTTATAGAACGGGACACAAGAGCGAATAGTGGGTCTATATGTTGAGGGAACCAACACTTTGGGCCTGATCGCTTGGTCTCTTTTTGTGGGCTACACCCTGTCCAAGATGGGAGCATCAGGGAGCAAACTTGTAGAAGTCTTCACTGCCTGAATGAGGCCAGCAAATATATTCGGCCTGATACTGTGGTAAGCTTCAACAGCATACCGTAACATTTATGAGAGGAATACTATGATAGACATGTTTGAAGTTAAGGTAGGAGATTGATTTTGGATGCATTTATAGATATTTTTTAAATTTGAAAATAAAAATGTTTGAAGAATTCAAAAGGCAACACTTGTAGTATGCAGATCAACTTTATTAAGAAATTAGACCGAGACCGAGTAGCTGTTGTCTCCCCTACCCATCCAGTATTCTGTGTTATTCCTGCTCATCAGCATAGTCGTCCACAGGCTAGTACAGCTAGAGAGCTGGTTGCACAAAAGAGAGGTACTTTGATAAAGTTAGACTGGACAATGTTCTTCTTCTACCTCACATTTCAATTTGGAGTCTTCCTACATAGACATAGAGGCACAGCATGTTCTTGCTGATTCCTTTAAGCTGCATTCCCCAGCTGAAGTTTGCTCAGTTACTCTGTTTGTTCTTTTCCTAATTTGTCATTTCATGCTTTGTCTTCTAGCTACTTGCCATTTGGAGTCACGTTCATGATTATAGACCATGTTGTTGACGTTCACGATTGGGAAACCATCTTCAAACTCGCAAAGTTCATGGCAGTGGTTCTTCTCGGGTATGTGTTCCCTTTATTGTTGTAGCACTCATTTAGTAATGTAGTAGTCTAGTCTAAGTGCAGGTGCTTGTATTGATCTCTGAGCCTCCATAGCAGCAGTGCAGAAGGCGTATTATAAACAAAAAATGAACAAAGAATTCAGCTGATCACAAAGAGTAGGAGCTTTTTGCATTATAAGGTTATTAAACTTTGGTAAGTTATTTCTTTGTATTTTTACTGAAATGTCAGATAAACTCAGACATGTTAATTAAATAGTAATAGCTAGCCCTTTCCAACATTAAATATCATGATTAATTGCACCAAAAAATAATACTAACTGCTCAACCCTCCCAGTTCAATCTCACAATAAAAGTATATTTAGCTAATTAATCAACCCTCTTTTAATTATACCTTTGGTATTAATCATTTTTTAAATGATCTTATATCAGTGTTTCGCACAAATCTACAACATTGTTATATTATGTTAGGCAGCTGTGGCTCAGTTGGTAGAGTCTGTTGTCTCTCAACTGGAAGATCCCCACCTCCTGAAGCAACATGTCCGATGAGTCCTTGGTAAAGACACTTAACCCCAAATTGCTCCCGCTGCTTCGGCGGCAGCGTAGGCGTGTGTATGAATGGGATTAATTATTCTGAAGATCACTTTACATAACAGCCTCCGCCCTGTGTGAATGGGTAGGTGTGACATGCACTGTAGAAGTGCTTTGAGTAGTCAGGAGACTAGAAAACTGCTTATACAAGCTCAAGTCCGTTTACCATTTGCCATAATATTATCAATGTTAAAAAATAATAAAATGTCATCCAGGGTCCCACCCATCAGCTGAATTTTTAACCCGGGTTCAAACTCTTGCTTTTGTCAGTGATTGTATTTGATTTCATTCGTAATCACTTTGCAATCTCTTTGTGTTTCAGGCTTATAATCCACGGAGGAATACTTCTCCCTCTGATTTATGTTGTGTGTACCAGACGTAACCCCATGACTGTCGTCCGCGGGGTCACTCCTGCCTTACTGACCGCATTCCTCATCTCATCCAGGTAAGATGACATAACAGTGCAGCATCAGCTTATAACGCTCTTTATATTGGTACATGTGCAAGTCGGGTTGTTGTTTTTTGACAACCTTGTCGTGTTATAAATGGTCAGGTAAACTAACACACATCATGTCTTTCCAAGCTCTGCCACACTGCCTCACACCTTCCAATGCTGTGAAGAACGACTCAACTTAGACAAAAGAATCACTCGCCTGATACTGCCCATTGGCACAAACCTCAACAAGGATGGGACTGCCATTTATGAAGTGGTCGCAGCTGTTTTCATCGCCCAACTCACCAACATCAATCTCACCATAGGCCAATTAATCACCCTTATGTAAGCCACTCTTGTTCCTATTTGTTAGGATATTATTACAGCAAATATGAACCTTGACAAGGAACCTCTAAAAGGAAGTGATTACAAAAATGTTAAATGCAATTTCATATTACTGTCCTCCAAATCAGAAACCTGTTACTCAAACAAACTTAAGAGTGTCTGTGCTGGATGTACAGGTTGACATCAGCAGTGTCTAGCGTAGGTGCAGCAGGAATCCCAGCGACAGGAGCAGTGACCACTCTCTTTGTGCTGACAGCAATCGGTTTACCTTCAAAGGAAGCTGCCATTCTGGTGGTCATAGAATGGATCCTGTAAGTTGCATTTTCAAGTCAAACAAAATGTCGAATCATTATAGCTTCATTTGGATTGGTTTGCACCTAATAACAGCTGGAAGACATCCACATGTAAACTGAACAAACTTTAACATAACCTTTAGAGGGAACCGTTTTTAGGAGGCCATGCTGCTAACCCAGCATCATCTATTTGCATAGGGTTTTGTAATTTGAGTTATTTATGCTGTTATAAATCAGTTTGAATTATCAGATAGACCACGGAAAATGGATGGGGTGGACGGGAAAACAATTATTTAACTATTTAGAGCACCAAGACCACACACATATTTGTGTAACACAATAATGAAAGGAAAAAAATTGACGTATGAATGCAACATTAAACAGAAAACTACCGTGCTCTTTTTTTGTAAGGTTGATTTTGGGGCTTTTTATGCCTTATTTAAAGATAGAACAGTGGATAGAGTCGGAAATTGGGGACAGACATGCAGGAAAGGAGCCAAAGGTCGTATTCAAACCCGGGCCGTCTGCTTGGAGGACTTCAGCCTCTGTACATGGGGCGCACTCACTAACTACTAGGCTACCGACAACCCCCCTGTCCCCTTTTGTATAGGTGGCTTTTAGGTTTTTAAATAAAACATCTTACTCCCTAAAATAATCTTGCTCTGTCGGGATCTTTTCTTGGAATGTTGTTCTACCCTCACAAAAAATTCAACCTGTCAATGGAAAAAAAAAAAATTTCAGTGGATTTCCCTTAATCAGGTAGATTTGACCCAACATGAAGTTGCAGCTAATACAGCCTTTTTTTTCCCAACTTCCAAAAGTCATTTTCGTCTCCAACATGTGTCAAATAGAGTCTAGGTTTAAAAAACAGTCATTTTTAAATCTAGATTTCTACTTTATTCTAACTGTACTCTCCACAAAAATATTGAAATCTGTATATTTTCCTTTGTTGTTCCTCCCAGAGACCGCTGCAACACCGTCCTAAATGTCTTTGGAGACTGCATTGGAGTGGCACTTGTGTACCAAGTTTCTAGATTAGAAATTGATGAAATGGACAGTGCGGCTCATGGAGAGGAAATGCCAAGGTAGGCCATAAACATTGTCTCAGTATTTGATCTTTTTATCCATAAACTCACTGTTATTAAATATGTTTGTTTATGGGTTCTTTTTTTCCCCAAAGTCTAATATTATTATCTCAGTAACATCTAGGTGGCAATCAGTGAAGGACACACAGTGGCCTTTTTCTTGTTTGTCTGATTCCATTGGTAAAGTTGTTTTACCTTTGCCTGGTTAGCACAAGTTACAGTGAAGCTGAAGGCCTCGAACTTGATGAGATCCAGGTTCAATTGGACTCTGATGACGTCTGCTGCACCATGCCAGAAGAACTTCATCAGATTGATGATGAGGAGAACAGCTAGGGTGAGCTCCAAATCGACCTCAAAGAATGTATGAATGCAGTGAGGGAGTTTAAAAGAACTGTTAAGAAGTTCACTACATTGATCCAGTTGTTTTTGTTTCGTTGGTGATTAAGTCTATTTTCATTTCATTCACCACAAAAAAAAAATCTTAAAAACAAAAGTGAGTATGAGGACTGTCAATCTGAAACGGGCCATTTTCTTTGCATCCGTAGGTTTCCAGTGTGCAGCAGCTGCAGGCTTCAGGAGGCTTACTCCGAGCTGCTGTGGAGTTCACCATTCAACTCTGCAATGTTGAATGTTTGCAATTTATGTTTAATAATTGTATTTTTAAGTTATTTTGTTCTCCAAAATGTTCAATTCTTTGGCATTGCATTTGTTTTGTGTGGTTTAAACCAACACATATTGAATCACTTAATAGTTTTTTTTAAGTGGATGGGTTTTGCCAATCTCAAAGTGTTCTCATTTGCCCTGTCCTCTTCTTTTAACATCTCTTCTTTTAACATGATTTCAATGCAGTATTTACCAAATACAGACATATCTTTATTATATACTAAATGTTCATTCTTATTGCTTGATGTTCAAAATGCCGAGTTTACCAATGATTTAATCTTCAACAGTGTGACATATTTAACAACTGATTGTTTTCAATAAAATGTGTATCTAAAAATGAACAATGTGTTTCGCTTGGAGTAGGAGTTAACAGAACCATCAAATGGAAAAGTACAAGTAAAGGTGAAATGTCCCCACAAGAATGACAAAATGTCTCTGACTTAAAAATAAAAAATCAATTTCATCTTTATTGTACTACTGTAAAGACAATGTTAGAAGATGCAGATTTAAATATAAAAGAAGGAAATATAACCAAATATCACAAATCACAAACAACACAGGGAATGAATGGTAGAAGAATTGGGACAGATGCACCAGTCAAAAGTGGTTACATTGAAGGAAACTAAAAGGAGCACATTATAACAAGGCTGATATACATATATATATATGTGTATATATATATGTATATATACATATATATATATTATTTTCCTATCTGAATTATTTCATAAAATATTGTATATAAATGTATTATTATGTGTGCAATAACTTTGTAATTCACTGCTTTATAATTGTCTATTTATTTACTCAGTCACTGCACTTTAACTTTAACTGTCTATTTATTTATTTACTCATCCAGTCACTGCAAAATAATAACTGTATATATTATTTCAGTCACCACAACTGTCTATTTATTTATTATTATTATCATTCATTCACTGAACAGCAATTGCTGTGGCCACTTTTTACATAGTTCTCTCTCATATCACCACAAATATATTTTTTTGTTGTTTTTTGTAAACGCTGCTGTTTAGGATTGCTGCTAACGAAGTTTCGTTGTGTCGTCGTATACAATGATAATAAAGATTCTATTCTATCTATCTTCTATCTATTCTTCTATCTATCTTCTATCCTTCTCATTGGTCCTTACTCCAACACATTAGGTGGCGGTAATGAGACTAAAAGCTGATCCGCCATTAAGCGGGAGAAAGAAGAAGAAGAAGAAGAAGTAGGACCAACATTAATGTGGCCATAACATGTTAATTTGTTTTCACCTCTGTTTCGCAAAAAAAGTATCTTAACTCCTGTATGGCATCGGAAGGAGACTCGGCCTAGAAGTAAGCTTAATGTACGCTAAAATGCATGTAGTCTAATAACATGTAGCCTATCTGTGAACATTAGCTCACATGCTAAGATTAGCTTGTTTGCTTGATGTGTCTCCTCTTGCTCTCTCCTCTGCAGACCGGGAGGATGAAGGTGAAGATCCGACAGTGGAACGGAGTCGCCTCTTGGCTTTGGGTTGCAAACGATGAAAACTGTGGGATCTGCAGGATGCCCTTTAATGGCTGCTGTCCAGACTGTGAGTAACCACACCAAATGTGTATTTAATGCAAACTTTAACCTGACTAATCACCTCATTTACTTAAATAGCACCTTTAATTTAATGTTTGCACTGCCTGTTATTTAATGTCTGTTTTTGATAACTCTGCACTATCTGCTTTTTTTAAACATTGCTGTACATATATAAACAACACAACTTCAGAAGGTCAACACTTTTTTTTATATTCAGGTCTAATTACAGAGCTTTTTCCTCAACTGTTTATAGTTTCTTGTTTAAATTTCACATATATTTTTTATCCCTGCACGGGTTATGTACATTTCTTGTATAAGTCTATTTTTAATTGCATCTAGGGGTATTCTTTACATCTTTTGGGAGGTTAAGATATATGTATGGGAGGGGAGGTGTCGGTTTTGTGGTTTAACTTGTAACAAATGTTTCATGTCATGTACGTCTTTGTAACCTGCTACTGGATGCTTTGAATTTCCCTCGGGATCAATAAAGTATCGATCTATCTATCTATCTATCTAATACAAAACTATAAGAAGATTTTGTTTTTAAGCACCAACACAGCCCTCTTCTATCGTTCTGACCATAAAGCCCTGTGCAACAGCATGAACTCTCTCATCGAGGGTATAAATCTATATGGACACTTAAATTGTCTCTATTTGCATATGATGAATTATTATTATACATTTCCGATCGTACTGTTTCTCAAAGTGAGCTGACGCCACTCAATGAGATTGTATAACGTTTCCTTTACTTGCTGTAGCTTGTCATTCAAAATGATCTGCAATATTTATTGCCATATTAAAAACAGAGAAAATCAGAACAGATAAATGAACTTTGTATTGTGTACAGATTAGGCCTGTATTTTGTGAACATTGTACTAATTAATATGGTAAATGGACTTGAGCTTATTAGCGCTTTTCTAGTCTTCAGACTGCTCAAAGCGCTTTTACACCACATGTCCACCTACACATTCACACACTGATGGTAGTGATCGCTATGTAGTATCATCCATCAGAAGTAACTAATGCCATTCATACACCACCACCAAAGCAGTGGGAGCAAGTCATATTGCCCAGCTGGGGATTGAACCCTTGACCTTCTGGTTAAGAGGCGACGACTCTACCAACTGAGCCACAGCCGTAATATTACTTTGTTCAATAAACAATAACAAAGGGAAGTAAATTATTTGTAAATAAACAAATAATTTACAGTGCATATTATCTACAACTCCATTTTTTTATATCTATCTTCTGTTCTTCTTGTTTAACACAAAACTTGCCTCCCAAAGTTAAAAAAACATAA